TAAACATGGAACATGATACATTAATAAATAAAGGGTGTCACAATCTCTTGGTAGCATGTGTTTTGAAATATATTATTGTAGGCATTAGTTTTCTTAGAGTACAACTAGTAGGATTGTGCTGCAAAATCAATCAATCAATCACCCAATTAACAGGTACATCTAGTTTTGCTTACATGACTTAAATGATTTTGTTTGCTTAGGGAATTTTCAAGTTTGGTCTCCTCTTCGCATTTTATTTTAATAATTAAAAAGAAGGCATAAGCAAAGACTCCATGTCAGAAGGTCCTTGGTATATATGGGGAGCAGAAGGTGGGCTGAGTTAGTTAAAGCCATAGTTTCCAAACATAATTAGTAAATGTTACTTTCAAATAAAATTGTATTTTTAACCAAATAACATAAAATGGATAAAAGTGGTGTTTAGTTTTATTTTTTTAAGTGGTGTTTATAATTTAAATGTGATTTTTTCATTTTAATTGTGAATTTTTAAATAATTTTTTTAAATTTTTTTAATAGTAATTTTTTTTATAAATGAAGTCAATGAAGATAATAAATCTTTTGGATGAATAGAAAATTTGCAATCATCAGAATATGCCTGATGATTTTCTTGTTTTTGTTTTTCTATTTGTGTACACAATACTAAGAAAATTCTGATTTATATTGCAGCTTGCCTTAAAATCCCTAAAATCTGTTTCAATTAAAGTATATTGGAAGCTTGAAAAAAAAGTAGCAGGAACTGTTTGCTTCAATAGTCAATCACTAATAATTTGGTTACTTCTTGTTTCCATATACAACATTTGTATATGAAGTAACCAAAATTGAAAACAACTCTTAATGCTATCTATGGTACGACATTATCAGAAAGTGTTTCAGGTGCTTTTGTTCAGCTACTATGCTGTAATGAGAACTAATTCTAGGCGGTAGATCTGTCTGAGCAGTGCATCCAGGTATTATACACCTATACAAAACTATGTGAGTCAATATGCAGAAGTGAAAATGATAAAAATTAAGTATAGAGCTCAGCCTTCTTTATCACTGACATATTTTTTAAGTTCAAAATAAGCTTTGTGAGGATAGAAAAACTTCATTCTAAGGTCTGCCTACCAACTGCACAACCTGGTAACCTTCAGTATGTTGAAATCAGAGCTAGATCACAATTGCGTGTACATGCTACTGCTTTTTAGAACTGATAGAGTAGCTCTAATAAAATTTAAGATTTGATTTTAAAATATGTTTGTGGAACCTCTGAAATGCTTCTGTAAAGCTGTTAAGGTTGTACCGTTTGCTGAGCCTGCATCAGAGAGATCCTGGCTATAAATGGATGTTGAACTTTATTTGTAGCCTATGAGGACTCCTGAAAAGTTTAGGAGAGTGTGTGAGAAGACCAGAGCTGTATTGGAAATGATCATTTAAGAGGTGGTTAACACTGAGAGAAAAAGGAAGTTCAGCTAGGAAGTGACTGCAATTAAACAGATGAAAGAAAGAAACTGAAACTGAAGTTGGGCACTTGGGCAGAATGAGGGAAACGTGGGTGTTAGAGTCAGCTTCAAAGACAACTCATAAAAGAAGTGTAAAGATAAAAGCAGTCTTTAATACCGTAGAGTCCAGGGTTTGAATCCTGCCTGATGTTTTCCAGTTTCTGAAAATACAGAAAGCATCTGAGAAATAGGTTCACAACGTATGATCTTCTAGCACCTGAATACTGCAGACACTGGTCTGGACATGACATTACATCTTGCATTCTGTGGCTCATTTTAAATTCTTAACCACAGGGGCCCCCATAGTTAGAGAATAGCAGAGCAGATATCTGAACTCAGGCAGCCTAGCTACACACAGAATCCATGTTCTTTACCATTTACTATCAACATTTGATTCTGAGATTGTGTGAATTCAACCTGTGGAAGTCAAGAGGCAAATGCTCAATAGCTTGAAATATACAGGTAACATGCAGGGGGAAGGAAAACCAGAAGAGATGATTCCCTCTTGTACCAGGGTAAGAAGCTTGAATTTGGATCTTAAAGGCAGTGGGGGAAAACCATTGAGAGGTTATAGGCAGAAGTAACACAATCAGACGTGAATGCATACAAAAACGCTCTGGTGTGTTCTGCTCCTTTATGTTTCTTTAGAGCCTTAATGTAATTTTCATTTTCATTCCTGGAGTTGAACATTCTCCAACCATCTTACGTATTTATTTTACTTTTTCTCCCCCACACTGTAGGATTTAATTCATTTTTTATCCATTGAACAATTAAATGCATGTTAATTAATACTAAGTAATGCTTCAAAGAGCCTATGAAAATAACACATAGAAGAAGTAAATTAGAAGATGATTCACATTATAAAACATTTACAGATTTATGTAAAATTTCAAATTTATGTCTTTCATATCCACTGGAGGAAAACTGTCTGTTTTCCATATATTAACACACCGTTGTATCGTTGTATATAAATGAAGTATACATACATTTTTTTAAATGATTCAGATGAGCTAGTTAAAGACTCCTATTAGTAGTTAAACCAGTCAAACAACCTTTGAAAAACAAGTCTTCAGACTCCCCTGTTTATCAGCTTGGAGGAGTAAGTACTCCATCAAATGTGAGGGCAGGATGTCTTAACTTTCAGTAATGAGAGACGATGCTAGTAAATAGTATTTTAAGATAATTTAAACAAAAAACCCTTAAGTAGAGAATGACAATTTACAATCTAACTTTGACAAATTGTTTGCATTCATTTGATAGAAAAGGTATATATATATTTATATATATACAGATAAATGTATATATGTACATAAATAGCACATGATATGCATATATATACATACACATGCGTAAAATGACAGAATACAAAATAAACTTCTCAATTGTCTCTTTGGAATCTGACCTTTTGTTTAAAAGCTTTGAATTCAATTCTTCCAATTTTTATGAATGTGTAAATTAAGCTGTACAAGATTACACAAAGAAAAGTTTCCAGAATACATTTGCCACAAACTGTCCTTCAAAGCAAGGGGGAATTATTCTTATGAGTTCAGAAAAATTCATATATTCAAAAAATAGGTTTTTACACAGACTAAAATTGAAATGGTTTTGTGGAACCAGGAGGGAAATGTGTACAGAAGAATTTTTCTGTAATTTGTTCAAGACACTCCTATTATATCTAAAAAGTATAAAACACAGCATAGATCTGTCAAAAAATAATATAGTGTCTTGACCACAGAGTTGTGAGACTGATTTTTTTCCCACAATAATTATTCATACAGAGTACAAGACTTGAAAGGTTTGTCTTTAATTTAGCCAGAACCAAGAGTGAGACCAGCCAAGACAAGAGAATCATATGACCACAGTTAGACAAAGTTGCCAAAGTTGTTTTCCATTTCACATGCCCTCTGGAAGGGCAAAAGTGGAAAAGCAGACCCAATTATGAATGCTGGCTTTTTCATGTTCTGTGAGCTATAGTACAGTAGCTGCTGTATGCCGCATTAGGACTACTAAGGGAACTTAAGCTCTCATACCCGAGTTTTGCCTGTGTCCAACTTAAGATGTGTTGAAAATATAGAGCATTACTAAGTTAATTTCTCCTAATGTAACTGGATAGTCTAACTTGGTATCCTATTCCCTCATTGGTTTTGATTAAAATAGTAATATTCATGAGGGAAAAAGAGTTAATACAATAAATAGGCAAATGCTTTTATGGACAGCCCAGAAACTGGATGGTGATTGTTCATTGCATTAAAGTGTACTTGCTGGGGATCCCCGGGTGGTTCAGTGGTTTGGCACCTGCCTTTGGCCCAGGGCATGATCCTGGAGTCCCGGGATCAAATCCCACATTGGGCTCCCTGCATGGAGCCTGCTTCTCCTCTGTGTCTCTGCCTCTCTCTCTATATGTGTCTCTCATGAATAAGTAAGTAAGTAAGTAAATAAATAAATAAATAAATAAATAAATCTATCTTTAAAAAAATAAAAATAAAATAAATAAAGTGTACTTGCTAAGGAAGCCAAGGTCTCATTTAATAGATTTTTTTTTTTCATTTAATTTCCTTGTGTGCTTTGCTTTGGTTCAATACTAACAGCCATATTCCCAGGCCCTGGTCCACACTTAGATAAAACCTTTACTGAGTTTCCACTTGGTCCATCCAGTCGGCTGAGTGCAGAGGTGGTTCTGAAGAAACTAGACCCGGCTCATGTCCTCAAGGGGTTGGTCAAAAGAGAAGTCTTTGAGAGAACGTCTGCGCCATACCAATCCACAACTGCAACTTGAATAATGCCTGACGTTTATTTATTGTTTATAATGGAGCCAGAAGCTTCCCATGCATGATCTCATGTGAAACTTGGGGCAGTTTTGAGATTTAAAATTTTCAGATAAGGAGAGGATCCTGAAGGTTAGGAAAGCTCTTACAATTTACCCAGGGACAATCAAAGGGAGATACACACTTGCATGCTTACATCTGCGGAGTAATCTTTGGAATTTCTGGGACTCAGGTGCCAGAAAGATCTTGAGAAATACAGATTTGGATGATGGGGAAGAAGTGAAAGAAGGTCGCAGAGGCCCAGTCCCAACCTCATCTCTCTTGTCCAGGTGCAATCTTGACCAGGCCTCCGGGCCACACCTAGTGGCAGGCGGCTTGTGGCAGGTTTTTAGGGCAAACTTACTTTAACACGACTCGGCGCCGGATGCGGAGAAACGGAAGAAACGGGAACGCTGTGCGGGTGGGGTGAGGGAGGCAGGGGACCACGAGCGGGCACCCCTTTGCAACCCACACGGGAGCCAGCACGGTCTTGGAAGAGTAAGAGGCTCTGAGCGCGACCCCGCGCCCCTCGGAGCTCGCCTGCAGACGCAGGTGCAGGGCCCGGGGCGCCCGCAGGGCTGCAGCGCTCCCCCCGCCCCCCCCCCCCCGCCATCCGCCATCCGCCATCCGCCATCCGCCCCCGCTGCGCCCGGCAGACGCTCCCCCCCGCCCCGGCCCCTCCCAGCCTCGCGTCCCGACCTGCAGCCTCCCGCCCGCCCCTCCCCTCCCTCCCGGGGCGTTGACGCGCCGGCGGCCGGGCCGCGCTCCCACCACTCACCCCCTCACGCGCGCTCCAGCCCGGAACATGGCGGCTCTCAAGCTCCTCTCCGCCGCGCCCCGGCTCCGCGCCTCCGCCGGCCTCTCCGGGGGCGTCCGGGCCAAGGTAAGGTGCCGGCGAAGGGGCCCGCGCCCACGCTCTGCAGCCGCCGCGGTCCCCGGGGCGCGCCGCCGTCGGCCTGGCCTCGCCGCTCCCGCCGCCTGCGCGCTGCCGCCGCTGCTGCTGCTGCACCCCGCGCCCCCCGAGACCCCCCGGCCCCGCGGCAGGGCCGGGCCGCGGCCACGAGCGCGCCGAGACGCCGCAAGGGCCCCGAGGGCGGCCGCGTCCTCCCGGCCCGCATCTCCGCCACGCGGGGCTCGGGCGGGCAGGGGGCACGGCGGCGGGGCACGGCGGCGGGGCACCGGGTGGCACCTCGCCCTGGGGACCTGGGGCGGCGCGGCCTCGCCGTGGAGGGGGCCGATGCGGGGCGTCGGGGGCTGCCACGCGGTCCCCTCCGCGACCCCCCGTACTGGGCTGCGCTGCACTGCACCGCGGCGGCGGCAGGGGGAGCCCGGGCTGGAGCGCCCGCCCCGGCCCCCCGGCCCCCCGGTCCCCCGGCTCCCCCGGCTCCCCCCCCCCCCCCCCCCCGGCTCCCGGCTCCCGGGACCGGCCCGTGGGCTCGCGCGCGCCCTTGGGCGCAGGCATCCCGGGGGGAGCATTGCCATTTTCAAACTCGGAAGACCCTGTGCCGCCCCTACCGTCGGCTGCCCGCCGAGGGGCATCCAGCGGCTCTTTCCGCCGCGACTGCTGGTTGATGAGCGGGTGCCTGGTTTGGGGGTTTTTGCGGGGCTCTGTCGGTACCGGCACGCCCACGCTCGGGCTGGGTCCCGGGGTGGAGCCCTCGAGGTCAGTCCTCGCCCCGATGTGCTGGGTCCTGGAGGGGACCCGTCCTAACCGCCAGAGCCTCTTCCTTGCCAGGGCAAAGAAGAAAAGCGTGCTGCTTAGTAGCGCATTGAATACTGGTCTGGAGCTTGAAAGCCTACCTTGCACCAGGTGCGTACTCAGATCTGCCGCGCGCCCCATTTGCTCCGTCTCTCCCGCACCCAATCCCTTACAGCGATGAACACACGGGGCCCACTAAGTCCCTTAGGTAAATTCTAGGGGATGACTTAGAACTGGGACATTTTACTCGTAACTGCCTCTTAGGGAGCATTTTAGTAATCGCAGATAGCTTTGGATATGTAAATTATTAGAAGGGCACTTGACTGACCTTCAATCACATTGCTGCCGTCGGTCGCTGAGACCTGCAAACCAGGGCATTGCCATACCCTTGGATCCTGGTCAAAAATATTCCATCTTTTGGAAGTTGCTTATTTGCCCAAGTGTGATTTTCTCACTTTCTGTACTTTGGAATGGCATTAAACCACTCAGGAAGCCCAGCAACCCTCTTCTTAGGTGGCAGAGTTACAGATTAGAGGCTTCGTTGTGCCTCACTGAAAGTTGGTATCCGGGTTCAAACTTTCCCCTTTTCGGGTTTGATTATAACAGGTTCAGTGCCTGCTTTCAGGTGTTTCTTCATGCTTGGCACTTGGTGTTCCTGCTGGTAATTTAGTCCTAGAGCTCATCTCTAACTTGGCTTAAACTGGAACATTCGTGTGCTTGTTTAACTTTTTTCAAATTTATACATTGGCTTTAAAAAAAAAAAAGATTTTGTTTATTTGAGAGAGAGAGAGAGAGAGAGAGAGAGAGAGAGAGAGAGAACAAGCAGGAGGAGGGGCAGAAGGAGCCTACCAGCAGACTCCCCGCTGAGCTGGAGCCCAATGCAGAGCTCCATCCCAGGACCCTGAGATCATGACCTGAGCTGAAGTCAGACACTTAACTGAGCCAGCCACCCAGGCGCCCCCACATTGACTTCCTAACAAGATGAAAGTTTCTGGTTGTTAGGGACGATATTATATGCCTTATTCTCCATCCCTCTCAACATTTCACACATACTTTCAGACATAGTATAGACACTCAACACATGTTTAATACATGGATGAAAGAACTCTGTGAACAAACTGGGTAGTAACCTTGAGAATTTTTCTGCTAAACATAATCAACTGCCCAAATGACATGGTGTGTGTGTGAGAGAGAGAGAGACAGAGAGAGAGAGAGAGAGAGAATGAATGAATGAATGAATGTGAGACAAGTCTCTCAAACTTTAATGAGCCACAATTATCTGGAGGCTTTAGCAAACATGTTTCTGGGTCCATCTCCAGAGTTTCTGATTTAGGAGGTCCTGTGTAGAGCCTCATACTTTGCATAGATGAGTTCCCAGGTGATGTTAATGCTTCTGGTCTGAGGATTACATTTCAGAACCATTGGCATGAGCTTAGAGTTGAGTAGACTACCTGAAGTTATCTTTCTTCCTCCAGTATTATTTCAGAGGCAGTATTTAATACTATTCTCCATTCACTGTGGAAAATTATTACTGGAAAAAGGTCCTGAAACTACCATCAACACTTTATCTACCTTCCTTCTTTGAACCTGTTTTTTCCTAGGTCTCTCTCCAATTCCATTTTCCCCTGAGCTGCTGACCTGGTACAACTTAACAGGTTGACTCCACCTGAATGTCACATAGTGCTTCAAGCTCTTTCTGACCCAGAATGAACCATAACCCATATCCAGCCAGTGTGTAAGCTAGAAACCTTCTTTCCTTTCGCCTTTCTTCCACGTCCGGCTAATAATAAGTGTCATACATGCACCTTTTCCTGAAACTTCTTCGGGGTTGTCCTTGGCACTCTTTGCCAGCAACCATCTATTTCTTCCTTATAGCTCCCCAGTGGGATATTAACGTTTGTATTTAACTTTTTAAATGATTAATGACTGTTATCCTTGTTAGTTTGTAAGTTTCTTCAGTTCAGGAACTATGCCTGAAGTGGGTTTTTTTTTTTTGTTTTAACTCTGTATTCCAGTATTTAGCAGATTTGATGCAAAATGGACATTTTTAAACAAATGGATAAATGAAAGAATGATTTCCTCTGTGACTTTCCTGTTTCAGGCTTTCATATGAGTTGTGACATCTCTGTTTCAAAAGTTTTGCTGTCCCTTCCTCATTGAAGGATGAAGTCAAAGTCTAGTGTTGTCCTTAAGGCCTTCTGCAACCTGCCCCAGTCTCCCTTTCCAACCCGATCTTCACAAGCTTCTCTCCATGGGACCTGATCCTGCACATCCCTGAGCACACTGAGCCTTTTTCACATCTCCGTATCTTTACTCATGCTGCTTCTCTTTCTGGATTCCCCATCCTCATTAGTATTTTAACTCTTGGAAAATTCCTCAAGCTTTCTAATACACCAGGGAGAATGCATCATTCTTTCATCTGTGCTCCTTTAAAGTGCTGGGTATCACTTTCTTGTTGGAATAAAAAGAACGTGTATATTCCTTTGAAAAACAGTAGGCGACTACTTTAGAGAATTGGCCAAGTGACTAGTAACTCACTGTGAGTTCCTTGTGATTTGTTTATTCATATCATAAGTACATAACTGGTAGTGTTTAAGGTGAACAGTCTCTTGTTGACAAATTCTGGTCCAATAATGGACAGCTAAAGCATTTCAACACATGTCACCACCTCTGTTTGGCAATGATTGTGTATTCCCTTGCCAGGTGTGTAGGTATGTGTATCCACCTGTATATTATTGCCTTTTCTAACAGAGTCCTCTTCATTTCCCTCCATATGGCTTCTCCTCTCCACTTCTGTTTATCACATTTTGATGCTGGAGTGGGCAGTATCAATCTTCCTGTGTCCTGATTTATTTAACTGTAACGTGACAAGGTAAATATCACCGGGGTGTACAGTTCCATTTCATTAAGATAAGATTAATTTAAAAATAAAAAAGCAGTATGCTATATGGACTTTCCCTGAAAGACCTTCAACATGAAATGCATTTTTTCTAAAAAAATTCTGGAGTATTGAATGACAAGAAAGAAACTTAGGCAAAAGAAAAAATGATAGAAGTGATTAGAAAGAAGGAGATTCTGAATTTGGAAGTCATGAGATTTAGGCTCAGTAGTGGAATCAGACCTCAAATTCTAAATGTAAGAATTTGAACTAGAGGACAAAAGGTGAAGATGGAGAGAATTTTAAAAAGAAAAATAGAAAAAAATTTGTTATGTAAGAATTTTGATTATTTCTTATACCTCAGTACCTTGACTGTTCTTTAGCAGTACAGTCATTATATGTCTTTCCTCCAATAGTAATACCAGAAACTAGTGGCACCATAAAATGGAATTCTGCAGAAGGTGAGAGTGTGGAAATACAAAATGAAAAATATTACGTGGATGTAAAGGAAGACATTGGTGAAAAAAATCATCCCCAGGATACATAGATGGTGAAACTGCATAGTTCATTATTCTTCATTATTTTAGGTAACCTCTGCAGACTTGAAGGCTATTTATTTACTTGTGTGGCAGGTGGTGCTTGAGTCTTTTCACCTTATTGTTTTAGCATTTTAAAAGGTAGAGGTCAATTTTTAAGCAGTGTAGAGCTTCATTTGAATCAGGCATATACAAAAAAGAAGATACCTCCCCTACTCTGTCTTAGAGAGTATTGGCAGTGATGCTCCTTGACTCCCAGAGGCTGGGAGAATGGGAGAGAATGTGGGCAGAGAGGGAGGGAGCCTGTTCATAAAACAAACCCAGAGGCTTTCTCTGCAGTGCTGTCTGTGAGTCTTCAAGCCTTGAAGAGCCACAGGAAACATCCTGGTGCAACTGGTTTCAGACATCCTTCCTCTTTGCCTCACTACCTGAATTCATACTGCTGGATTGCCCAGTGATCTTGGAATACTTAGAATGGCAAACCTGACTACAAACAAAATAAACATATTAATCTTAAGGCTGGAACCCATTTTTCAAAACCCTCAACAGAGATGGCATAGATTAATTTCCCACCGCATAGGTCATGCTAAAAAAATTCTTTGTAAAATCAGTAATACATGACTATGTGTATAGGTATGGTAAAACGGGGAGGTTAAATATGAAAACTAAAGCCCAATGACAAGTTAATCTTACTGCCCTGGTAGGGAATAAAGAGATGGTTGCATCCCCCAAAGGAAGCTAGCTACCTCCAGGGTATCTGCTGTAGTACAAACACAGGGTCGAGCGACTCTGATAGACCATTACTTAATCCTTACTACATCCTTAAGAAGCAACTGTCATCCTTTTGTAAGCTTCACATCAGCACCCCCATGTTCAGATTTTGCAATTTTCCCAGTTTCATGCAATTGTGGCTGAATTTAAATTTGAAACAGGGTATTTTGTCCCTAAGATTACTGGAATGTGGCCCATTATGTCACACTATTGATTTCTCAGCAAATAGATATCAAATGTCAATATAACCAATAGATAATGAAGGTCAACAAATGTTAACTGAATGTGTGAAAAATGAAAAAAAAATTGAAGTTGGGTATAAATTCTTCATTAACCTGAGCCATTCTCACATTCCCTGTAGACATTTCATTTTTATTTCTTTTAGCTTTTGATTATCTGGATAAATGTGAAATACTTGAGTCTTTTTAAAAATAGTTCTGAAGTATTTTTTTTAAAGATTTTACTTATTTGAGAGAGAGTAAAAGAGCAAGTAGGGGGAAGAGCAAAGGGAGAGGGACAAGGAGACTCTGCGCCCAGTGCAGAGCCCATCATGAGGCTCTAGCTCATGACCCTGAAAACGTGACCTGAACTGAAATCAAGAGTTAGATGCTTAACCAATTGAGCCACCCTGGTGCCCCCTTCTGAGGTAATTTTTTAAGGTGTGGGACAAACATTTCAATAATTTCTGTTTGTAATGAGAAAACTAATTATCAGCCGAAACAAAGGAACAGAATTCCTAACAAGTTTTGTTTTTCCTTGTGAATCCAAAAAGCGTCCTGGATCCGTAGGAGAATGAGTTTTCTTTTGACTTCTCTACAGGACTCATGTTTTGTGGTCAATAGGTAGTTCAGAGTGACTGCACCCCCCTGACTACTTAAGGGTAGATGAGTTCTTTTATTTACTTCCTCCGGCTGAGGCCCTGACTCTTAACCACTTTTTTTTGGCCTTTTTTTTTTGTTTTTTGGTAAGAGATAAGGTTAGCATTTATTTATTTATTGCATGTTTCTGCATCTTTGATTTTTTTCCAATTTTATTGAGGTGTAATGGACAGAACAACATTCTATCAGTTTGAGGTATACAGAGCAATGACTAGATTTGTCCTTCACTGTTTAGAAAAGGTAATGACAGTAGAGTTCTTCATGAAAAAATGGAGTACTCAAAGATTTGTTAATCTGTAAACAATCAAATAAAAGTAGAATAAGATTAAGGACTTTTTTTTTTTTTTAAGATTAAGGACTTTTAAAAAACATGGAGAGGAGCATTTTGTGGTAGAGGATGCTGTGATGAAGGCTAAAACCTGGGATCTGCTCCTGCTTTAACAGTGTTGGGTACATTACAAGATCTTGCTCAGCTTCAGAAACTTGACCTGTGAAATGAATTGTTTAGATTACAGTATGTGTTTTTTTTTTCCTATTTTTGAGAAGATAACCTTGACTTTTTATTTTACGATTCATCTTTTGGCCTCGTTATTGAGGTTTTCGAACTTTTAATTTCCAAGATTTAAAAAAATATATTTGTGTATGTGTGTGTTTAAGCAGACTCCGATAAACACCTTGATACTGAGGATAGGACAGAGCAGTAAGCTCTCTGCAGCTCAAGCTTGTTCCTTGCTAGCTCTGCCTCCACTTATTTCCTGGTGGTGTGCCAGGATAGACCGCTCTGTTTGCCAGACCTGAACCAAGGTTGAATTTAAGGGGACAAAAGTCATCCGTGAAACCTCTGCCTTTGCATGTCTCATTTGACTTTCAGTATCGTCCTCTTGAAATAGGCTTATTAGACACTTTCTGTGAAAGAAATTTATAGAGGAAGAAAAGAGTGCTAGAAACTCAATAATGCCTTTACCTTGATCCCATAGAATGTCTGTCAAAGACTGATAAGGCCGTGTGTGTGAGCTTACATTTACCGACTTGTTAAGGTGACAGCATCTGAGGAGTCAGGAGCCTTTCTCTTCGCTCCCTCTTTTTAGGTTGAATATATAATAAGAATGAAGGAGAGGTGATATTTATTATTATTATGGATGGTTACAACTCAGTCAACTCTAGTTTCTCCTATCCATATTGCGGATGAAATATAAAGAGGGAAACTGTTTAAAACTGATGATGAATGTTCACTAGATAACCTGTTTTGCACCAACTAGATCACTGCGGTATGACTAGCCATGCCTCCCTCACTACTTTTCTCAGCAAATACAAACCTAAAGCCCCATGGGGGAATGGGTCTTTTTGTGTACTGTTCATTATTTGTCCCCTTAGGGAGGCATTTGCTGACCTAAGATTGGGTTAGGGGTCCAAGTATGTATTTGTATTTTGGTCACACTGTATTTGATGTTCTACAGAGCAGCAGTCATGTCTTAATACTTACTAGATGGCAGTAAACAGAAGAAGAATTGACACATAGTACGTTCTCAGTGAGTATTTGTTGACCAAATGCAAGGTTAGCTCATTATCAGAAACTGATGATTGATACCATCATTATGGTGAATTTGAGTCCCAGTTCATCAGCTATCCACTTTCAGTTTTGGCCATATATGACACAGTTTTCCTTTATACAATGGAAGAGAAGACATCCATCGTGATCACAATGGGATTCAGTGATAATCTATGGAGAGAGTATGTCCTTGTTACTCTAAAGATGAATTGCTTGCAGCCCTACTCTTTTTTTCAAAGAGCAGATAGTGAAGTTATCCTTGTATATGTAAAAAGCAAATACGTTGGTATACATGTAAAATATAGTATCTCCAAATGATTTTCACTTACAATTTTTTAAAAATGTTTTAGGGATGTGTTTGCTACTTTTCAACCAGCACACGTCGCCATACCAAATTTTATACAGATCCAGTGGAAGCTGTAAAAGACATCCCTGATGGTGCAACAATACTGGTTGGTGGTGAGTAGTAGTACTGTTTTCCTTTTGGTAATGGTAACGTCCTTATGTTTTTAGCAAAGCAGGGAAATCAGAGTGGCAAAGCTGTGGAGATTAGAAATGCCAATTATTTTATTGCTGATTATTATTTTTATGAATAAAATTTATTGCATATTATGTAATTATTTTATCAGTGTCCTCATCTTGAAAATTTAGCAAGGTTTAGCGCTTAATGTTTTACTTTTTCCTTTTGTGTTTCTTTTTCTATTATTTTGAAAAGCCAAAGCTTTAAATGATGATATCTCATTAATATGTTTGAAAACACTCCTAGATCCTTGGGAATTCTATTTAACTTAAAACATTTGCACTGATCTCATTAGCTCTTACCCAGCCACTCCTTTTGTCATTCCTCATCCTAGGAGATAGAAGGCACATAAGCATCTATCTGTTGTTAAGCTATCTGGGTTCTATTGCTGCACCCTGTTTGGAATGTCTTTTATTTTTTTATTTATTTTGTCTTTTATTTATTTATTTTTTATTTATTTTGTTTATTTTTTAAAAAAGATTTTGTTTATTTGAGAGAGAAAGGAGAGCATGAGCAGGGAAATGGGCAGAGGGAGAAGCAGACTTCTCTGCTGAGCAGGAAGCTTGATGTGGGGCTTGATCCTGGGACCCCAGGATCATGACTCGAGCTAAGGGCAGGTGCCCAACCAACTGAGTCACCTACTTGCTTCTGGAATGCCTTTTAGAACCACTGTCTCACACTCATTAAATTTGCTGCCTGGTTCTTTTTTTTTTTTTTAATTTTTAATTTATTTATTATAGTCACAGAGAGAGAGAGAGAGAGAGGCAGAGACACAGGCAGAGGGAGAAGCAGGCTCCATGCACCGGGAGCCTGATGTGGGATTCGATCCCGGGTCTCCAGGATCGCGCCCTGGGCCAAAGGCAGGCACCAAACCGCTGCGCCACCCAGGGATCCCTGCTGCCTGGTTCTTATAATCTTTTTTGTTTATTTTATTTCTAGGCTTTGATCCCAGGAATCTAGGCTTATTTTTAGCACTGCTGTTCATTCATTCATCCATTCAACTGATCAGTCATTGAATGTTCATTTTAAACTCAATACTATTTGACAAATTGTGGAAGCTATAAAGAAATAAAAGTCATTGTTCTAGGCTTCTGATTCTGCAAAATCTATTCAGGCACATGAAACAAACATGTTGAAAAAAGTTAAAAGGTTGAATTATAAATTTGGGTAGTAGTAGATGTGTAGTTAAGGGCAAGATGTGCAGCATGTAGCCATATTAACTGGTTGCACTTGGCATTCTTATGATTTAAGGATTTGACGGTTATATCTGGTGCTATCTAATGATGCAAAACATTTGGGTAATTACTGAGTTGCTGAGATACAGCTATACATTTCGCTTAGTAGACCTAATAATGTGTTTTGTATTTTTTTTTTTTATGGAAAAAGATAACCTACATTTCCCTAAAAGAATGTTACCATTTTCACAAATTGTTTGTCTTTTTCACTTACAGGTTTTGGGTTATGTGGAATTCCAGAGAATCTCATAGGAGCCTTACTGAAGACTGGAGTCAAAGAGCTGACTGCAGTCAGCAACAATGCAGGGTAAGTGTGCATATTTGTAACATGTGGCTTGAAAAAGATGACACTTCTTTATAATATTCATATAAAATTTATAAATGAAATGAAAATTGTCCGCATGAGCAATATGCACAAGCATCAAAAGGCAGTTTTTAACAAGCTCAAAAGTTGGAGGTTACATTTCTTCAAATATTTTTTTTTTTTAATTTATTTATTTATGATAGTCACAGAGAGAGAGAGAGAGGCAGAGACACAGGCAGAGGGAGAAGCAGGCTCCATGCACCGGGAGCCCGATATGGGATTCGATCCCGGGTCTCCAGGATCGCGCCCTGAGCCACAGGCAGGCACCAAACCGCTGCGCCACCCAGGGATCCCTGTTCAAATATTTTTGATACCACCCTTCATAATCGTACATAAATCAGATTTGCATAAATGTATATCTTAATCTGATATGCTTTTATTTTTCTAAATTTTAAATATATTGTTAAAATATATATACTTTCAATTTGAATCTTGCATTTTATAATTTAGAGACTTCTCTTTATATTACATTATTATAGATCGTTATGTATAGAGGACAATTTCAAACAGTTTGAAATCTGTTTCAAGTTTTTTAGTTATGCCATATTCTAGGGGATATATAAGGATATCATTAATCATTAAAAATGTTGCTGGTTTTGGTGGAAGGAGGAGGATATGCAACCAGCACAGCAGGATCTCCTATCAAAATGGTTAACATAGCCAAAACATTTTAATAATGACATATATATCAAGGTATATTCTGTTATGAAGAAAAAAAGCTACTTCTATATAAGATGATAAATTATCAGCTCTCTCTCAACAATGAAAGACTTTATAGATCTTTAAAAAAAAATTTAAAAATTAGGGGCTCCTGGGAGGCTAAGTTGGCTAAGTGTCTGACTCTTGATCTCAGCTCAGGTCTTGATCTTAGGGTGGTGAGTTCAAGCCAGGCACTAGGCTCCATGTTGGGTGTGGATTGTAGTTGGAAAAAAAAAAGTTAGCTATATTGGCAGTTTAGCCAAGCATCATAAGTACAATTTAGAAAAATAATAATTATTTAGGACATGGACCTGATCCTAAATTTTTGCTCAATTTTCCTTTGTTAAGTTTATTTAAGCTGTTATTTGCATTTCTCACCTTTTCTCTGCATATCCACAGTATTCCCATTTTTCAGGATCCGCCTTGAGTTCCTTTCTGAGTTCCTTTGGATACTTGTAGCTTTTCTCTGTATACCGAATTGTGTTCATTCTCCAATATATATTATGGACTGATTGTTTTGCTTATAGTTTTCTCTTCCCCATTGTGCTGAGCCTCAGGCTCAGTACAGAGTAGTGGAGCTGGATGGGATTGTAGAGATCATCTGTTCCAGTTCCCTCATTTAACAGAGGAAACTCATTTGTAAATAGAGAAGTAACTTGTTCATGGTCACTTGACATTTCTTAAACACATCCTGTGCCACTTGAGCTTACTTTGTATTTATTAAAAATACTTTTGACTATCAGTACTTTGTTTCCAGATAGTTCAGTGCTTACAAGGGATGGTGTAAATCAACATAAATTCTTGATATAGAGTAAATACTGATAACAGTCATCGTTGAACACAAAGAAGGCATTCTGCACATGCTCATTGGCAGTTTATTGTCTTAATTAGGTGGGTTTAAACCCTAGAGGTCTGTAGCAATGAGGGCTTTGTTTTGGCTATTAGAGTCAGATAAATGAGGAAAACTTAACAGCATTGCTTTGTGGGAGAACCAAAGACAGTTGAATTATTGAGTAAATAGAAATTAGAAGTAATAACTGCTTTCTTGGGGCACCTGGGTAGCTCAGTTGGTTAAGCATCTGACTCTTGATTTTGGTTCAGGTCATGATTTTAGGTCCTAGGATTGAGCACTGTGGGCTCTGTGCTTGGAGTGGAGTCTACTTGTCTTTCTCTGCTCCCCCTCCTTAATACTTTTCATTTAGAAAAAGGCCTTTTATGGAAGGATCTGCCTGTGTTGGAAGACTTTCCAAAGCTAGGGACTTCTGATTGTCTGTTTTTGTTTTCTTTCTTTTTTGATTATCAACCTTTTGACCATGAGGTACCACTCACCTTGCTGTGGAGTATTAACTATTATCTTGATGAGAAAAACCTTCTCCCCTAGGATCACTCAGATAAATCAGTACTTTGATATGGATTGATTAGGAAGGTAGGAAAAATTGAAAACATGCTTTTCATTGATTTTTTAAACGACTTTACATAAATTACAAACCTGTATGAACCAAAAATTTTGCAGTAAACTATATATGTCAACGAATTAAATTAGAGAAGGGAAGAACAGATGTATTAATCACGCTCATTTCCTCATGACAAAATTATTTTTTTTAAAGATTTTTTTATTCATTCATGAGAGACAGAGAGAGGCAGGGACATAGAGAAGCAGGCTCCTTTTAGGGAGCCTGATGTGGGACTTGATCCCAGGACCCTGGGATCACGACCTGAGCCAAAGACATGTAAACACTAAGCCACCCAGGTACCCCATGGCAAGATTATTTTAGATTATAGTTCTTCAAAGTGGGAATTGAGACAGCTCCTAGGACAGCCCGGCTTCCATGTGGAAGCCTAGTTAAGTACTATGTGATAATATATGTGTGTCTGTGCTGGTGATTGCAGTACTATTACTTTTATGTGGTATTACACAAATCAGCTATGGGAATTTTATGAGGACCCAATGAGCAGTTTTCCCCTACACCAGTGGTTTTGAACCACTAGATAAAGGCAGGTGGCTTCTTTGCTGTGCTGTCTCCATTATTTGTTGAGGCAGCTGCAGCTCTGAATGGAGAACTGTAGGCCAACTTGTCTGATTATAAGCATTTCCCCAAGATTAGATTATTTTGTCTAATAGTGGAGGACTAACCACTTCCTGGGATGTATACTTGAACTTCTCTGCTCAGCTCATGGAAGGGAGTATTCACTTGTTCCATATAACTGTGTCATAAATTAATGCTCTATCCAAATATACCATTTTCTTTTCTTTTGATAGTCTTGTTATTATCAGAGTAAATATAAACTGTAACTGAGATTTAAGTATGTCTAAAATGAGAAGAAACAAGAAAAATACAATTTGGTAAATAGTTGCAAATTCATTTGTATTAGAATTTTGTTTTGACAAGAATTTCCAGTTAATGAGATTTTAGATTCAGAAAAAGAAAAATATTTGTGGAACATTTATGTCTCCCATGAAATATTGTTTTGCTTTACATGAATATATCTCTTTATTAATTCTTGGCTTTAGACTTCTTTTAACCACTAAAATGTTTGAAATCTGCGTTTGTTGTACTATAAGAGAATGGTCAAATCTCTCCTTAGGTGTACTAGGAAAATGTTGGCTCCTAAATAAAGGCAAGCAAGGTAATCTCTTTGAAAGTCCATCAAGATTATCTTCGATATCAAATAACTGCAAGATGTTTTAATATAACATGTCTGTTAGAAAGGGCATGTTTCTCATTTGCAAAAGATGACATGTGTCTGTCTTCTTTCTTTATATTGTAAAGGCTTTGCCTTTTTTATTTTTGTATCATCAGTGTCTGATCCACAGTAAAGAAGGGATGCATGTTTGCTGAATATGTGAATTGAGAAGTATGTGGCAAGAAAGACACTCTTATTATAAGCTACCCAACAGCATGTTTTGAGGCATAAATACTAACTCTATACCTGGTCAGGGAGTAGCTTGGGCTGAGCATCTTAAGCACTGCTTGGTTGCCATACCAGGTTGCTAGTCCAAAAAGAGAGCAAAGCCAAATATAGCTAGTTTCCAGAGCCAAGATCAACAAATAAAGAGAGGTCATCTCTAAACAGAGCCAAGTTCAAATGTGTTGAAAAGCCAAACAGATCCATGAGAGAGCGGTTGGAAAAATCTCTGAAGTCAGTGAATTGGGCAGGTACATTCTGGTGTATCATGTGGACCTATATACATGGAGGGAGTTTAAAGTATTTGAAACTACAGAAAGCAACTGGACTGTATTCACTCTCATGGATTATTTTATTGTAATGACTTTATTTAGATAGGGCTCCGGAGCATATCAATGGTACTCTCATATTGGGTAACTGAAGAGAGTTTACCAAAGGGACTCTCTTTAAAGGAAAGGTCAGGTTGAGGGAAAACAACATGAGTATTGAAGTACCCTGAGTTAGTAACAGGAGAGCGCTTACCACCAGCCTTAGGCCTGAAGAGTGAGGGGAGGAAGCTGCCAACACCTGCAGGTAAGCTTTACAGAGAGGGCTGTCCTGTGTGCTGCAGCTTGCCAGGGAGGGAGTTGGGGGGATCGAAATCCTGACATCCTTCTCGCACCTGAATCCCTTGCCATAGGGCAAGGGATTCAGTCTACACATCAGCCGTTCTAGCATAGGGCAAGCTGGAGATTGGCAAATAGAAAATATCCAGCATAAGGATGCGGTGATATTTATTTTTTGTTAAGGATGAGCCAGTGAGGAGGAGGAAAGTGAAATCAAGTAATAAATTCATTCAACAAATGTTCCATAAGTGTTTGTGTAGTACCTCTATATGTTGTGTAGGCTTTTAGGTGGTTGGGAGTACAGCGGGGAACAAAACAAACCAAGTTCCCTGCCTCATGGACCTTATGTGCCAGTGTAAGGAGAGGCAGACAATAAATAGCAAACACAACAAATAAGTAAAATTTCCACTATGTTAGGTTATAGTCTATGGAAAAAAAAAAGAAAAAACAAGAAGGGGACTGGAAGGATGAAAGTGGAGGGGCAGGTTTCAGTATAAAATCCGGCAATAAGGGAAGGACTTGTTGAGGGGACAGTTGACCAGAGACTTGAAAGAAGTGAGGGGTGATTCTCTTCTGGGGAAGAGTTTCAGAGACAGAGAAAGGCCAGTGCAAAGGCCCTGGGCAGTATGCCTGGTGTGTTTGCCGGGATAGCGAGGAGGTCAGCAGAAGAACAGCGAGCAAAAGGGAAGTGGGAGGAATGAGGTCTGAGATGTCAGGAGCATCCCATCTCTGGGGCCCTGCAGGGCTGCTCTAGAGACCTCTGCTTTTACATGAGTCGATGAATGCCATTGCAGCGTTTGGGCAGAGCAGTGATGTGACTGGACATATTTTGTTTTGTACTTAATCGTTTTGGCCACCATTTTGTGAGTGGATTACAGGGGGCAGGAGTAGAAGCAGAGGAGGTGGCTATATTTAGGCAGGAGATGGTGTAGGTCACACAGGAGGAAGTGAGAAATACTTCCATTCTGAATGGATTCTGAAGATATAGTCAGGATTTTCCAATCTAGTTGGTAGTGTGAGAGAAGGGACAGATCACTCCATTACTTTTTTACTAAAGATCTGCAAGGATGGGAAAGGTGGGGCATGCTGCAGGAGCCGCTGAAGTTAGGAGAGTGGAATTGTTCACCTGAAGAACTGAAGGCCCGGCAAGGTATTAATTAGAGGTAGGTAAAAAACAGTGAGAAGGCATAGTTTATGAAGTGTGGGGAACTAATTTTCCAACAGAGACAGGTAATCTGTAGTGATGTGGAGCCCTCTAGTGGACAAGCATATTATTAATCTTCCAAGAATTCTCTGCATATATCACAAGTACACCCTGGAAAATACCTGTTTGGGCTTTAGTTTTCTTCTGAAACAAGCAAGAATCAATCATGTAGGCATTCCTTTTATATTCATGGTGAATCAGAAACATTATTAGATTCAGAATTGGAAGGTTAGAACTATAAACAAGTTTAGCAAATGGTTGACGGTTACCTGGACTACGTTAAGGTATTCAGTGTGTCTGGACCTCCTGGTCTAGGTTGAAATGGAATTGGCTTGGAAATGATACATCCTGGGAGGTAGGAGTCTGTTGAGTGGGGATGGGCACGTGTGGGCATGAGGAGTGTGAGGATGGACAGTGAAGCGAAAGTGGGAGAAAAGGAGGTTGTTAGGAGAAATGTCCATGGTTTGTCACACAGGGTACCGTACCGTCCCTCTCCAGGTCAAACATGGTGTGTCACTAGGAATTGTAGACTAATATCCCACCAGTCCATTCTCACACTGTGTTCCACTGCCAAAGCCAGAATTCTGGAGTGGGTCAGCCTCTACATCAGGATGGGCAACAAACCTATGACTTCTTTCTCCCCAAATAGTCCTTGAATTGTCCCATTTCTCTATTCCTATTGGGGCTACCTTAGTTCACACCCTCATCTTTGCCTGTTTGGATAATTTCAAGCCTCTTAACTGATCTCCCGGCCTTTTCTCACTGAATCTCTCCCAATTAATTATACACTCTCTTACTTTCTACTTAAAATTATCCACAGGGTGTCCCATATCCTTCAGGATGTAATAGTCATTTCTTGGTGTGGCTCACGCAACAGGTCGCACGCTGGCCTGCCTTCTACCTCTTTTGCTCACTTCTGCTTCCAGTCCACACTACAGTCACACTTAATACGGAGCCCGTCAGACCACTGTGCACCTTTGTGAAGCTGCCCATCTGCGTTTCTGGCTCACTGCTTCCACACTCTACACTGCTCTCAAAATAATTTTCTTCAGCTCTGTTCAAGTGTCGTTTTCCCTGAGCCTTTTTCCGGACCTCTTTCTCCTCTCAGTTGGGCGACCTTCAGTGTTCTCATTGCACTTGATGCAGACCTCTCTTGGCATGTCTCTCCTTCTGTTGTAATTATAGGTTTACATGTTTATCCCTTCCGCTCTCAGAGTTTCCCCTGGCCCAGGACCTTACATACTAGGGGCAATAAGAACTTAGTCAAGGACTGTTGGGTGAGTGAACCGTGTAGATGACACGAGCTCCATAGGGGAAAGGCCTTTGGAGCACTTGGGATTAGGAGGGAGAGATCATAAATGATGGCTTCTGTTTCTGGGAGGCACTCTGGCTTTGTCACTATGTTTCTATCTTTAAAAAATACTTTACCATGGACTCCTGGGTGGCTCAGCAGTTGAGCCTTTGCCTTTGACTTGGGTCATGATTCTGGAGTCCCAGGATGGAGTCCCGCATGGGGCTTTCTGCATGGAGCCTGCTTCTCCCTCTGCCTGTGTCTCTGCCTCTCTCTCTGTGTCTCTCATGAATAAATAAAATCTTTTAAAAAAAATGCTTTGCCATAGTATATAATAAAGAGTAATACAAAAATATGATCCTGTCACAGATACAAAGTTTGAAGGATTTTTACAGGCTGCTGACCTGTGTAACCAGCCCCAAGTTCTTTAAATGGAACATGACTGGTACCGTAGAAGGTCTCCCTCACACTCCTGCGAGTCACTGTTTTCCTTTCCCACCACTGAACTTAACTATTATCCTCATTTCTGATCTTATCCATTAGTTTTGTGTGACTTTGAACTTCATGCAAAAGGAATAATTCACTAAATACTCTTTTGTGGTTCTTTGACTCAACATTTTGCATGTGGGAGTCCTCCATCCTTGCCAGGCGTTGTAGCTGATTCCTTGTCACTGCTGTGGAGTATTCCATTGTGTGCTCCCACCATAGTTTGTTCTGTGGTAGAGTAGTCCTGCCTATGTCTCTGCATCTCTCACAGATAAATAAATACAATCTTAAAAAAAATGTGGTTGGGATCATTTGACATTCCCCTCTTCTGTATGAGAGTGCTGGGTATTCTTGCCAACGCTTGGTAGTTCCTTCTTTTTTTTTTTTTTTTTAAGATTTTATTTATTTATTCATGAGAGACACAGAAAGAGAGACACAGAGACACAGGCAGATGGAGAAGCATCTCTCCAATGTGAGACTCGATCCCGGGACTCCAGGCATCCCAGTTCCTTCTTATTTTATTTTATTTTATTTTATTTTATTTTATTTTATTTTATTTTATTTTATTTTATTTTATTATGTTTTTGTTTTTTATTTTTTATTTTATTTTATTTGTTCATGATAGACATAGAGAGAGAGAGAGAGGCAGAGACACAGGCAGAGGGAGAAGCAGGCTCCATGCAGGGAGCCCGACGTGGGGCTCGATCCCAGGACTCCAGGATCACGCCCTGGGCCAAAGGCAGGTGCTAAACCGCTGAGCCACCCAGGGATCCCCTCCGTTTTTTTTTATATATATATTTAACTATTCTTTTATGTTTACAGTAGTGTCTCTGTGGTTTTCACCATATTTTTTTTTTAACTAGTTTTATACCTTAAGTATACTTCATTACCTGAGAAGTGCTTTCTTTAAGTGGCTAGAGTAGTTTTGAAACTCTTGAAGAGCAGGATAAAGTGGAAAGGTATTCAGTCAATTATTAATCTGTCACATTGACTTTGCTTGAGATTCTAGGTTTGGGGACCCTGGGTGGCTTAGTGGTTGAGTGTCTGCCTTTGGCTCAGGATGTGATCCCAGGGTTCTGGGATCAAGTCCCACATAGGGTTCCCCACAGGGAGAGTACTTTTCCCTCTGCCTGTGTCTCTGCCTCTCTCTCTGTCTCTCATGAATAAATAAAATCTTTTTTAAACAAAAGAAATTCTAGATTTATTTTGCTTTGGAAAAGAATAGAAATAAAATAGGCACAGACTTAGAAACCTTCACTTAATGAAAAAAGCCAACAGTACATGCACCATTTCTAAGAATAAATTGAACTCCGATGTGTCAATGTAGGCTTATCCTGTGTAACAAAATGTACCACTCTGGTGAGTGATGTTGAGAATAGGGTAGGCTGTGCATGTGTGGGAGCAAGGGTATATGGGGAATCTCTGAACCTTCCTCTCAGTGTTGTCATAAGCCTAATGTTGCTCTAAAAAAATGTAGTCTTAAATGAAAAAATCTTAAAAAGAATGAATTGAACTCCAACTTAGGTAGAGGTACTAAACTATATTACATGTAACTTAGCAGATAACAGCATTATTCTTGCTGCCTGTAAACTTTTCACTGATTTGTGATTAATTTCCTGATTTTTTATTTTTTTATTTTTTAATTTTTTATTATTTTTTTTAATTTATGATAGTCACACACACAGAGAGAGAGAGGCAGAGACATAGGCAGAAGGAGAAGCAGGCTCCATGCACCGGGAGCCCGACGTGGGATTCGATCCCGGGTCTCCAGGATCGCGCCCTGGGCCAAAGGCAGGCACCAAACCGCTGCGCCACCCAGGGATCCCAATTTCCTGATTTTTTAAATTAAAAATATTTAAGCATTTTTAAATCTTCAGCTAAATATCTATGATAAAGGAAAAGTGTTCATAGTTATTTACGATTTGGGTCTGTATTTCCAATGTATGCTGTTCTTTTCTAATTTAATTTACTTATTTATTTCAAAGAGTGTGCTTGGGCTCTCATGAGAGGGGTAGAAGCAGAGGGAAAGAGAATCTCAAGGAGACTCCTCCCTGAGCACAGAGTCGGATACGGGGCTCAATCTCACAGACTCTGAGATCGTGACCTGAGCTGAAATCAAGAGTCCGATACTTAACCAACTGAGCCACCCAGGTCCCCCCTGTTCTCTTTTTTAAATATGAGAATGCCTTGTTCACTTTTTAGGACAGAATGAATTCCTCTGTTTGGAGCCAGTGCAGGTTATTAGAGTGGCATTGCCTTTGCATTTACATTTTTTTTTCATAGCAGAGGGCAAGATCCAGTTTGCTCGTCTTCTACACTAGTATTACTTGGGAGCAGTGGAAAGAGTGAAAGGTGCAGGGCAGACTTTTAGGATTGGAGTGGATTTGAATACCAGCTACATCACTTACTACCCAGGATATCTGTGGGCAGAAATCACTGAAAGGCTTTTGAGCTTAGTTTCCTCAGCTGTAAATTTAATATAGTGACCTTGCAAGATGGGAAAGAATATGGGTTAAATGCCCAGCAGAGGGGATTCCTTTAAAGTAATAATATTTTATGTTTTTGGAAGTCAGGGATATTAGTGTTCTATCCAATGCTCCTTTGACTGCAAGTTGCTTGCATTTTTCTTCTAGGGTTGACAACTTTGGCTTGGGCCTTTTACTTCGATCCAAGCAGATAAAACGCATGGTCTCTTCGTATGTGGGAGAAAATGCAGAATTTGAACGACAGTACTTAAGTGGTGAATTAGAAGTAGAGCTGACACCTCAGGTAAGAAAATTTCTCTGCTCCTCTTTTACAGTAGTAACTTATCTTAAAATTTATCCTTTTCCCCTCTAGGGATTTTCTTTTGCAAGAGAGGTAAGGCAGAGAGGATGCGATTTTGCCAAAGAAATTTGTTTGTAGGTCACACCTGTTGACTACTAGAGGACTAGTATTTTCTATTGCTGTGCACCAAAAAAAGGGAGGAATTTCTAGTAAAAATGCCTAGGCTACAGGATAAATTTTTAAGTTTGGCACTAGGATGTCTTGTGCTGGTAGTGTGCAGTAGGACTTGCTAAAATGCTTGAGTATTGTCCTAAGAGTCGGTTCCTATGAATCATAGAGTTAGAAAACCATGAGGAATATGCTCCTGCTGAGACATCAGGAAGGTGAAGTCCATGGAGAGTAAAAGTGACTACGTCACAGAATAAGTGCCAGAGTCAGAGCTCAGGTCTCCAGGGGTTTGATGTCCTTACCAAGCAAGCAGTTACTGCAGTTAACTCTAGCCAGTTTCCACTCATTTCATATTCTACATCTTAACTGGTTCAAGAGTTTGTCATAGAGAAAACTTTCTGAAGCCATTTGGGTAAAACAAGGGCCTACAGGTTATATGCTTTGGTCTTCTAACTTGACATCATCTGTCTTCATCTCTGAAATTGAACCTACCCCTTTATTTTTGTCAACAGAATTATCACCACTAACTTCACTAGATTGGTGATAACGTGATAGAGCAGAGTTTTAAAAATTAGTAAGTAACTCCCAGGAAATGCTTGTCTAGAGAGAGCATGCAGGGGAGAACTTTTCTACTGAGGCTTCACAGCATAACTCAGGTCATACCTAATCCCTCTGCAGTGTTGGCACCTGTGCTTGTCATAGCTTTGCACTGTGCCTGGTATTTATCCAGTTTTCATTGAAAGTTTTTTAAAAATAACAAAAGGTATCCTGTCTTAGTCTACTTGTGCTGCTATGACAAAATACCACAAACTGGGTGGCTCAAACAAGAGGGAGTGGTTTCTTATTGTTCTGGAAACTGGGAAGTACAAGATCAAGGTACAGGCTGACATGATTCTTGGGAGAGGGGAGGAGGGGGAGGGAGAGAGAAAGAGGATGCCCTTGTGTGAGTACTCTGGGGCCTCTTATTATAAGACCCTAACCTTTTGGGACAGGGCCCTACCCTTATGACCTCATTTAACCTCATTAATCTCCATAAAGGCCCTGTCTCGAAATACAGTCACGTTGGGGGTTAGGGCTTCAACATATGAATTTGGGGTGGGAGGGGGGCACAATTCAGTCCATAGCATATATTTTTCCTCTCCACATTGTAGGTTCAGGTGCGATTTCCTTTGGGTTCTGGAGTCTTTGAAAATTAATCTTTGAATTACTTCTATTATCTATTATCTTTTGCATTATCCCTTATTTTTTCAGAGGGCATATAAATGGAAGTTCCTTAGGGTTTCTTTTATATTCCTTTCTTATTTTTGTTTTTTTAAAGATTTTTATTTATTTATTCATGAAAGACAGAGAGAGAGAGAGAGAGAGAGAGAGAGAGAGGCAGAGACACAGGCAGAGGGAGAAGCAGGCTCCATGCAGGGAGCCCGACGTGGGACTAGATCCCGGGACTCCAGGATCACTCCCTGGGCCGAAGGCAGGCGCTAAACCGCTGAGCCACCCAGGGATCCCCTCCTTTTTTTTTTTCTTTTAAGATTTTATTTATTTATTCATGAGAGACAAAGAGAGGCAGAGACACAGGCAGAGGGAGAAGCAGGCTCCCTGCGGTGAGCCCGGTGCGGGACTCGATCCCAGGACCCCAGGATCATGACGCTGAACCACTGAGCTACCCAAGAGCCCCTCTTTTATATTCCTTCTTTAAGCTTAGAGACGTCAGTGTCTCTTTCCCTGTCTAGTGGCAGGTAAATAAACATTACATTAGCTCTGATAACTTGTTTTGCAGCCTGTGAACCAGAAAAGTGTTGATAAAATGGTAAGGATTAGGATTCCCTTTGGGATTTGCATGTAGGTGTTGGCGGTAACTGCAGGGAGCCTCTGTTGAAATTGACCACCTTTTTTTTTTTTTTAAGATTTTATGTATTTATTCATGAGAGACAGGGAGAGAGAAAGAGAGAGAGAGAGAGAGAGAGAGAGAGAGAGGCAGAGACACAGGCAGAGAGAGAAGCAGGCTCCATGCAGGGAGCCCAACAAGGGACTCCATCCCGGGTCTCCAGGATCAGGCCCTGGGCCAAAGGCGGCGCTAAACCACCGAGTCCCCCCGGGCTGCTCAGAAATTGTCCACTTTTAGGTCCTTGCCAAATGGGACAGAGACGAAGTATTCAAGGAGGGTAAACATAAAAAATATCTTACAGTAGGGAGGGTTGTTATGGTTGACTTGATTATTTAATTTTATGTATGTTATTAACTCAAAATACAGTACAAAACAGAGTTATTTCTATTAGATAGAATAGAGAAGCTGTTGGCTGGAAGATTGTCAGTTATGCCTCATATCCTGCCTTCCTCAGATTATCCCATGTACTTTGATGACTCTGTGTCTGAAGTCCCATCTTTTAGTTTCTGCTTTAAATTTAGTATTTAAAGGACCCAGTTAAAGTAGAAAATTGTTTTCAGGTTGAGATAATTTTAACATACTATTACTAATACTGAAACCAATTCTTACTACTGATTGACCAGTCAGTTATGTAGTGTGAATATGATGTAATTAGACCAAAACAGGTTTCAGTGTTAGGGTGGGTGTCAGGAAATATTCAGGGCCAGAGGTATTCCCCAATGGGAAAGCAGTTAGAGGTGAGAGAGAGCTAGGAAATTAGGTTTGAATCACTGGTACCTAGGGAGGGGGTAAAGATGATCAAAAGAAGGTGCAAAGAACTTTGCAAAAACAGTACATTCTACTCTGAGATAAAATTTGAAGTACTCTTAGCTTTTAGAAACCAAATTAGCTGTATGTTCTCTTCGCCTAACTTTGGATTTTTCACTAGTCAGATAATGTAGTAGATAAAATGCTTATAAGAATGTTTTAGAATAAACTCTAAGTAAATGAACGGATTTCATTATTATTTATAATAACGGTAGTGTTATTCATGATAAGGTCAGGCTATATATGTACATATGTCACACAGTAAAACACAATTTAAACACATGTTTTAAAATACATATGGTTAAAGTGACATACTTCAGATTTGAAAATTGATTTTAAAATACTACAAACAGATTGACATAGAATATGATGTCAGGAGAGCAGTGGGAGACCAGAAAGCTGTGAACACAATTATACAAAGAAGGAGTTACATTTGAATGTGGATTAAGAATTGAGAGATTGTTATCTAGAGGGACAATACTTGTTTTCAACTAATCTAGCATATAGTGTTAGTGAAATACACTAATATGCAATACTAGGTACTATTTAGAATGCTAAACTTCTAGAGAAAGGAACCATGTCTGTAAATGTTCCTATATCCACATACAGAAGTACACTTAATGAACTTTTTATGATGTGTTGGTTGCTCACTTGCAGGGCACGCTTGCAGAGCGGATTCGTGCAGGTGGGGCTGGAGTTCCTGCATTTTACACCAGCACCGGGTATGGGACCCTGGTGCAACAAGGAGGGTCCCCGATCAAATACAACAAAGATGGCAGCATTGCCATTGCCAGTAAGCCCAGAGAGGTAAGAAGTACCCTCATCCAGGTAACACTGGGATACCTCTTTCAGCGTAGACTTCCAGGTGGACTCAGTGGGTAGATAGAATACAATTACCTCTGTGTGAGAAGAGACACTGTCCTTCATTTATGTGCATATGCTAGGTACAATTTCTAGCTAAAACAGAGCATCTGCCAGTAATTAAAATCACATAGAGAAACCAGAATAAATAAATGAGAAGAAACAAAACTGAAATCTATAGAAGATGTGTGAGTCAAGATTAGTTTTATGGTAGGTTTTAACAAATGTAGGAGCATTTATAACTTCTGATTATGCTTATGTGAAAAAGAGAGTAGATGTATCATTGTATCGTAGTAAACTTATTCTCAAGCCCCTTCTGGATGTGGATGAAGGAGGAAGAAAAAGCCAAAGACATCACAAGTTTATTTACCATTTTGAAAAGCAAGGGGCAGTTGTAATTACATAATAAAATAGAGCATTTGTTCTTCATTTTATATACTGGACATACTTGAGCTAACTGAATAATTTAGTTTTATTTAAAGTGTTGGGAGGTTGGCATATCTTTCTACCAGGTAACTTCACTCACATATTAGAAAAGAACAGACCTCTAGATAGATACTTCAGAAACTCAGATTTGAGTCAGTTGTAAAAATTACACAGCCCAGTATTCCATTACTGTAATTTTAGTCCTTCTCCCTGGCCACACAGCTCAAGAGTGTTAGTGCAGGCTGCAGAAATACTGTGCATAGCTCAAAGGAAATGACAGCTTCATAATCAAAGGATCTCTTAAACCACTTGCTTATAGCGATTTTTATAAATTTTTTTTTTTTGCTTATAGGGATGTTAGCTCTGCACCTCCATGTTATGAGAGAAGATAAAAGGTCATCGAACATGCCCCTTGCTGTTCAGCGTTTGTCTCTAGCAGTGTCCTCCATCTGGAGCTTTGCCTTTCTGCTTAGAGTGACCTATATTGACTCAAAGCTTTGATTAACATTTTTTTTTATATTCTATCTTGCTTCTCTCTCTTTACTGCCTAATGGGGTTCAAAAAATTTTTGGCAAATAAGACAGGAGCCTAATTATTAAAATGGATCTTAGTAATGTAGATAATGATGCCTAGAAAAATTGGGTTAATACCTTGAGAGTTTGCTAGAAGTTAGAGCGTTAACTCACCCTGGGAAAACATAGGATAGACTAGAGTCTGTCCTGAATGCCTGGATTCATTTTTGTCTGGAGTCAGATGCACAAATCTAGTAGTTTTGTACTTTTATCTGAATTACCCTAGGAACATGACAAATAATTTCTTAAAATGATTGCTGTTAGCTCTATTTCTCCTACTTATGGTAGGAAGAGGAGGTGAGTAAATCTTTTAATTCAGTGGTATTTACTGAGATCCTACTCTTTGTCAGGCACTGGCCCAAGTATAGTTAGAAAGGGTGATGATCTAGACCAAGTGTGCCTGCTAGTGGAGGAACTAACAGAATGAATTCATAAACATATTTTGTTAATAACGAAAATGCTATGAAGAAAAATCAAGTAGGGTAAGGGCAGAGAGAATGCTCACTGCAGGGAAGTGGTGTTCCAGATTGGGTAAGGGGAAACCTCTCTGAGAAAGTGACAGTTGATAGAGATCTGAATAAAACAGGAGAATGAGTGAGCAAAGATTATAGGGTTGTGCTCTGGTCAGAAGGAAGAGGAAGGACAAGGTCCTGAGGCAGGCTAGCCCTGTTTGTAGAACAGCAGGGCAGCAAGACAAGAACAGAATGAATGAGGCAGAGAGCAGTAGGATGAGAGGCTGAAGGGGGGGAGGTGTGAGAGCCAGATCACATGAGTTGGGTTTTACTGAGTGGTGAGGGCACAGTAGAGAGTTCACAGGAGAATGAAGTGGTCTGAGTTACATTTTGGAGGGATCACTGTGGCTGCCAGGTGGAGAGTTTTTGGGAAGGTTCCAAGAGCAGAAGCAGTGAGAGGGATTAAGATGCTGTTGTATTGACCCAGGTGGGCAAGGAAGTGGTTTAGACTGAGGTGGTTAACAGTGGAGCTTGTGGGAAGTGGTTGGAATAAGGACATATGTTGATAGCAGAGCCAGCAGGATTTACCAGTGCATTGGTTGTGGGGCATGAGGAAGAACAAGAACCATGCATGCTGCTTATGAGATGGACAACGTATGGGAGTAATCCCAAGAGCCTTGTTTAGGACTGGATGTATTTGAGACATCCTCTAGGCTTCAGCAGAAGTTGCTCCGTAGTCTCCAGCTTGTCTCCAGCTTGGGGAGGGTTTAGAGCTGGAATACGAGCTTTGGAGTCTTCAGCATCTAGTATTTAAATCTGTGGGACTAGCTGAGTGTCTAGGGCTGTATTACAAGCAGTGGATACCTCCTTTGCATTTAAGAAGTGGGAAGAGGAAAAGAAGCAGCAAAGAAGAATGGGAAAATGTTTAGTGAGTGAAGAGAAAAGCAAGGGGAGTCTAGTAACTTGAAAGACAAGGGAAATTTTACAAAAGAGGAAGTGATCAGTTGTGTCAGAGTGAGAAGTGGGACATTGGCTTTAGAAACATGGAGGTCATTGGTGACCTTAAAGAATTTTTCTGAAAGAGAGGATTTTTTCTGCATTGATGGGAATTTGATTGGAATGGATACAAGAAAGGGCTGAAAAAAAGGGGGGAGGTGGTGACCAGGAAACCTACAACTCTTTTAAGTGAGTGTAATAGCTAAATAGCTAGTGTGACAAAACCAATCCTTTCCCTGTTTTAAAATTTTAGAATGGCTGGCATAAGCAGCTGCTGGTTTGTAGATCCATCAGGAAATGCTATAATTGGAATAGGGAAAAAAAAAAGTCAGTTTTTTCACATTGCCTTGGATTAGCATATATTTAGATCTTTATGAAGTTTTCTAGATCTGTATACAACATAACATTACCTGTCATCAGTCATCATTGTTGTTGGCAGTAATGACTTTGAAATACATAAAACTCTTTAAAAAGCTACGTATTGATGTACAGTTTATAAATATCCTTCATATGATTTGTCTAAATTTCGTGTTAACAAGATTCTCCTTTAAAAAAAAAAAACAGATTCTCCTTATTCAGTGATCCCATAAATTCACTGGAGAGTGGGGTAAGGTCTTTAAGGAAGCTGTTCTTTAAGAAAGGATTTCTGCTTTAAACCGTAGTTGAAGAAAAGTCAATACACCAAACTTTCTCCTGAAGCTTCCCCTGGTATGCATGCTGTTTGTCCACTAGAGGGTGCAGTACGAACGAGGATGGGGCTATGCCTTCCCAGGCCTGGGTCATGTGTAGGATGGATGTGTAGTATTGGCGTTGTTTCCTCTCTTCTTTGTTTGAAATCCCAGAGCTAAATCCCTGAGAAGAAAAGAGGAACAAAATGCCATGGCATAGTTTTACTTTATGATTCCTCTCCCCTCTTCCACCTCTATCTGTAGTACAATTAAAAGGCAATGCATATACAAAAATCAATAGCATCCATTAAACCAGTAATGACAGAAGAGGAGGTATAATAGAAGAACATAGAATACTCATAGTAGCATCAAAAACCATGAAGTGCCTATGAATAAACCTAAAGAAAATATATACAAAGCTTTTTTGGGAAAAATTAAAAGCAATTCAAAGAGGTAAAAGAAGACTTCAAAAAATGTGGGCATATGTTCTGCTCACAGGTGGAAAGATATGGTATATCAGTTCTCCAGTTTCATCTGCAAATTCTAGGAATTCCAATTAAAATTTCAACAGATGGTTATAGATTAATTAGGAGAGATGAATAGATTTTTGTAACTATTTTGTGTTCAAAATACATTGGCCATTTTATGCAACTTACATAGTTTTGGTTCCCCCTCCCCTGAAGTGGAAGGAAAGATGGGCTATTTTTCATGTTCTGTGTATATAACTTATGCACACAAATAATAAAATGAGTGCTAACCTACAGTCTATGCCTTAAGCATATAGAACTTCTAGTTCCTCAAGTTTACCAAGCTCTTTCTTGCTGCTGAGTCTTTGCACATGCTGTTCCCTCAGTTCCCCTTCCGCCACTTTGACTAAATCCTAGTTGCCTACCACTAGTCACCCTTGAGATCTCCATTTAGATTGTTCTGTCTCTGAGAAACCTTCTCTGACTAGATCTGTATCCTTATTGTCTGCTTCTGTCAGGGCATATAACCATGGCCAACTGGAACTCATGCAAATACCTGACAATGCCCTCTTTGTCTCCTGCAGGTGAGGGAGTTTAACGGTCAGCATTTTATTTTGGAAGAAGCAATTACAGGAGATTTTGCTTTGGTGAAAGCCTGGAAGGCAGACCAAGCAGGAAATGTGATTTTCAGGTAGTATGATGGTTTTAAAAAATTTGAATGAAACGCATTCCAGCAACTTTACATTTCCTAAATTATGATTACAAAAATGGATATATTGATGTGTTTGATGTTTAAAAACTTATTTAAAAAGTGGCTTACGATCAAACAAGCCCACCTGTCAGCATATATGTATGTGTGTGCAAGGCTACTGCTGTGCAGTCTTGGTGATGTGGTGTACTTGTGGAAATCTGTTCTAATTGGTTGGGGCCCACATTGTACCACTTGTAAGCTATTTTGAATCTAAATATCCTTGTATGTAGTCACATACAAACTACTTTTCCATGTGGTATTTTAGTTGCCAGGACAAGTTAAGTGTTAAGATGTGCTTAGCAAATGTGAGAAAAGCACACAATTGTATTTAATTTTGATATTGTTATTAATATGTATTAAGGTAAAATGCCTAAATTTTTTTGATATTCTGGAAAGATCTTGCTAACAACCATTTAGGGTCGCTTCTTTTCTAGTCATGTTGGTGTCTACTAGGAAATACTTCTGTAGGTTCTATCTGAAAAGTTGATTAATCTGGATAATGCTCAACTTTCATTCTTGTTATTTGGTTAGCCACAGATATTAAACCACAGGCTTAATAGATTTCAAGATCTTTTGATTACCCTAAGCGTATTAAATACCAAATATTTAGTATCTTAGATTTATACATTATATGGTTTTGAAAATTGTACTTTTGAATATACACATACAAGTTTTCCAAAAATTATTTATTTATTTTTCCACAAAATAAACAGTATTTTTGAAAGTATACATACAAGTTTTCCAAAATGTTTGGTCTTGAAGACTTTGCTGGTTAGGTTACAGAAATAATTTTCTTTCTTATAATATGGATATTTAGTGTTTTGGTAATAATGTTTATCTTTACCAAATGCACCTTTGGTGAGATCATAGTTAAATTCTCAGTGACTACCCTCATGTTGTTTTGTTCATTTCTGAAGACCTTATATGATATCAATATTATATTTAGTTTCTTGAATTCAGCCAGGTTTTGGTTACAACTGATTTCGGCAGTTACTCATTTTGCCTCATGTCTGCCTTATTTGACATCTTGGTGTAATGTTTGCAAAGTTAAGTTGCTTTTTTAAAAAGATTAATGAAATTGTAAGAGAAGCAAATGGAAATGAACTATTTAAACTGTTTCCATGAATTTATCATGTGTTTCACTGCCTGGCTCTGATATCTAAAGACTGCACAAGGGCTCTTCCCATCATTGACTTATGCCTGTGGTTATTGACAGGAGATAAGACTGCTCATCAGCAATGGTCAAGTGACTTAAAATTTTAAAATACTGGTTTCTTTCTTTGTTTTTTTTTTTAAGATTTTATTTATTCATTCATGAGAGACACAGAGAAAGAGAGGCAGAGACACAGGCAGAGGGAGAAGCAGGCTCCATGCAGGGAGCCTGACGTGGGACTCGATCCCCAGACTCCAGGATCACACCCTGAGCTGAAGGCAGATGCTTAACCACTGAGCCACCTGGGTGTCCCAAGATACTGGTTTCTAGGATGACCTTCACTTCTAATGGGACAACTGGTAAAATGTCTATCTAGGCCATCATTAGGACAGCCCTGCACAGCTTTGCCTCTGGCCACACTGCCCTTGGAGGTTTTGATGTTGGGCATGCCAGACATCTAGTGGAATCCAACATAGCAACTTGTGAAAGAAAGTACCCAAGGACTTCTCTCTCAGGGACACACCTGTCTTTATATTTATTCTTGAATCTAAGTGAGATAAACACTGGTGGCCTAAAAGAGCTAGTAAAAGAAAAGATATAACTTATTTTCCTTTATCATGTAAGTTTTTTTATCGACTTACACTCTCAGAAACAAGAAGTATATTAAATTTTTTTATGGATGGTGGTGGTGCATTAATTTAAGAACTTGAGTGCAAAACCATCAGCAAAATTGGCATTTTCTTGAAATTTTTACACCTCAGGGTCTGATGTGGGTGTTGCACTTCAAAAAATTTCATTAGAAATTGGTCCCCCAGAATGATCTTTATAGATGACTCACACATTACCAGTGAATGTTTCATTTTATTTCAGCAATAGATTTCTCTTTAATAGAGAATATAATTACTCTGCCTTCTCATACAAAGCCCTTGCTACCTTTCTTAATATTTTAACAAGAGCAAGTTTAGTGAAATATATAACTATAGAAATAAAGTGGCACCCCGGTTAAAAGATTTAGGCAAATTAGTTTTAAATGAGTAGATTTATTAATATCTTTTTTATCTTTCTGAATGTAATCTATATTAGAATATGAAAAATAGTCCCTCTTTCCTTCAACCCCATAAAAGCTATAATTGAATGAAATGGGGCTATTATTTTTATTTATAAAATTAACACGAAAAATATAATACATTCTTTTTAAAAGATTTAAGATTTTAGTTTATAGAAATTCTTTTAATCTGTAATCAAAGCTGAGAGAAACTCTTCTTATTTTTGGTTTTCTTTCTTCCTAATATAGGAAAAGTGCAAGAAATTTCAATTTGCCAATGTGCAAAGCTGCAGAAACCACAGTAGTAGAGGTAAGAGAAGAGGTCATTTCTGTTTTCCAGAGGTTGCTTTTTAAACTTGCTGTTATGTATTAGTTTAGAAAATTTATAACAGTTCATGTGTTTTCTGAAAGATAAACAATGGCCACTTTTAAATTTGGATATTGAAGATTCTATTTAAATATGTAATATTTGAAATTTTACTATAACATTAGTTTTTTTGGGATCAAGTCATGAAACTAGCCAGCTTTTTTTTTTTTTTAAGATTTTATTTATGTATTTGACAGCGAGAGAGCCCACAAGCACTGGGAGTGGGAGAGGGAGAAGCAGACTCCTCACTGAGCAGAGAGCCTGATGTGGGGCTCGATCTCAGAACCCTGGGATTATGACATGAACTGAAGGCAGATGCTTAACCAACTAAGCCACCCAGGTGCCCCTGAGACTGACTAGTTTATAACAGTCCTTTGGTACTTGAGTAAAATACTCCTCTTTGGGTAAAATTGCAAGATGGATTTTTATATACAGAATCCCAGAAAAATAGTAAGTTATATCATTATTTCATATACAGAATCCCAGAAAAATAGTAAGTTATATCATTATCTTATTGTAATTGATACTGAGAATTCTTTAAAGAAGAAGGAGGGTAGTATAAGTAATTGCTTTGATGTTGTTTTGTTTGGAGCATTTGAATTAAGGAACTGACTCTTTGGGCATCTCATGGTGTGGCAGAGACATGACTAATTCTGGAGCCTTTCTAGGGTTAAAGCTCTGGGATAAAACTAGGTTACTTATACCTAAACCCTGACATTTTGTATTATATGTATTTGAACCTGAAAGGAGATTCCAAAATGATTCTTAACTTGAGGCTTTGAGAATGACCTTGGAACCAAATTTTCATGAAAGTTTGAGTTAACTTCTCCTTGGGAGAGTTTTTTGTTTTCTTTTTTTTTTTTTTAAAGATTTTATTTATTCATAAGAGACAGAGACAGAGACACAGGCAGAGAGAGAAGCAGGCTCCATTCAGGGAGCCTGATGCGGAACTCCATCTGGGGACCCCAGGATCACACCCTGGGTGGAAGGCCGACACCCAGCTGAGCCACCCAGGGGACCCATCTTTGGGAGAGCTTTATAGAAACCTATCATGGGATCTGGAAATGAGAATATATGTTCATGGTTTTTCTCGTGGTGGTAGTGTCATGTGTGACATCTTTTGACTCCTGCATACATTTGGCCAAGATGATATTTCATGGAGGCAGTACCGTGGTATTTTTGAAAAATCAAATGTTAGAATTCTGTTCTTCTCTTGGAAAGTGAAATGTATTATTTTTAAAGTTCTGGGGATGTGGTACTTTCAACCTAGCATGGTGGTTTCTTTTGCAACAGCTTTAGTATATTTTTTGCATTCAAAATGGACAATGTGGTTTACTCTCACTATGCAATCTGTTTTTTTTTTTAAATATATTGAATCATCTTAATGACCTGTCCATGGCACAGGCGCGCGCATGCATACACACACACACAACACACACACATATAATATCACTGAAGAAAAGCCTATAACATAGCTTAAAATAGCTGGTAGTTTAACCCTATTGATTTTACTTCTGTAATACTTCCTGGAACTAATATTCCTTCTCTGAGTACCAAGGGCATTATGCATTGTCCTGGCTGAAGTTCTTTTTTTTTTTTCTTCTTCTTCTTCTTCTTTTATAATCTGCTTCTTTTAGCCAATCTTGTTTCTTCTAGGAACAGAAAATGACCCTCTCATGTCTGAGAATCACTGTAGATAGTAGAAAAGAGAAGAAGTTTTTTGTTTGTTTGTTTTTGGCATAAGGGAAAGGAGATGAATTCCTTTAACCAAACCTGCAAATATGGTAAAGGCTATTCCCCTTGTCTGAGAACAGACATCTCTGTCAGTGCACTCTTTTTTGCTAGACCCAGACTCACTTTTCAATATGAGACCTCAGTCAGCCACTCTCAATTAACTATGCCTGCAATGTCCAGCATGGTGGCCACTAGTTACATGTGACATTTGAATTTAAATTAATTAAAATTAAACAAGGTAAAATTCATTTTCTCTTCAGTAGCTGCATATGTCTAGTGACTACTGTTTTTTTTTTTTGTTGTTGTTGTTGTTTTTAGATTTTAGTTTTATCTATTCATGAGAGAAAGAAAGGCAGAGACATAGGCAGAAGGAGAAGCAGGCTCTCTATGGGGAGCCTGATGTTGGAATTGATCCCAGGACCCTGAGATCACACCCTGAGCCAAAGGCAGACAGTCACTGAGCCAGCCAGGTGCCCCGTGACTACTGTTTTTTTTTTTTTTTTTTTCGTGACTACTGTTTTGATCAACACAGATCTAGAACATTATCACTATGAAAAGTTTGATTGGACAGAGCTTAGAGTGATGAAGATGAAATCTAATTTGTCATTCTAGCTTAGGAATCTAAGCAAAACAGCTTTTAGATAATGGATTATCATAAGCTCAATAATAGAAGAGATCTGAATGCTCATAACCTGAATTATAAGAACTGTGTTCTCAAAAGAGGAAAATCATTTGGAATTGTGAATGGTGAGTAGATGGGATATTTTCTGATACGAAAATTCCATCTTGACTTTGTGACTTCTAAGTCTGTGTTACTCTAAGTCTAGTGAGTACCGTGGATCTGCAGCTCCTCTTCTTTGCTATGTTCTGTGTACTCTGTTACCTGCATTGACCTCCCAGATTGTGTTAGCTGCATTGACCTCCCAGATTCTGTAAATCACAGCTCTTCCTATCCTGCTTTATTTGATGGGGATCCTAGTGGAATGGATGATTATGAGCTAGTCTCTGTAGTGTGGTATTTAATAGGAATCTTCAGAAATCATAAATTACCCATATTTTCTCCTGCCTGCTAGTTATTAACAATAATAAAATAATAACAGCTACTGTTAATCAAGTATTTATTATTAGTCACTGCTATAGTCTTTATGTGCATTGTTATTTGTGTAATTCTTAAGATTTTATTTATTCATGAGAGAGAGAGAGAAAGAGAGAGAAAGAGAGTGAGGCAGAGACACAGGCAGAGGGAGAGGCAGGCTCCATGCAGGGAGCCCGATGTGGGACTCCATCCCGGGTCTCCAGGATCAGGCCCTGGGCTGAAGGTGGCACTAAACCGCTGAGCCACCTGGGCTGCCCCTTGTGCAAGTCTTATAATAGTCTTTCTTAAAGGTAGGAACCAATATTATTATTATTTTACAGACGAGGTCTTTAAAGTACAGAGATAAGTGATAAGTTTAATATTCATCTAAACTACAGATAAATATGTGACCTGATGTCACACAGCTAGGTGGACCCAAGACAGAAACACAGAGAGATTGATTCCAGGGTGTCTGTTCTTTTCCATTATTTTGTAAAATGTTCTCAAATCATCATAAATGGATGACTTTTCAAACTTTTGAAAGATACTGAATCTCTAGGAGTAGTACATTTCAATGCTAACTATTAGAATCAAGTGGAGAGGTTTTTGGCTAATTTATTCCTGTCTCTTGTACTTCCTTGCCAGTTATTCTGATCATGGTCTTTTTCTCCTCCATGACCGTATACCTCAGAGTTGGCTTTGAGAGAAGCCTCATCCTGTGATCAGTTGCTGTATGGGACCATTCATTCTTTAATTTGGTTCATTCTGTCTTGTAGCTTCTCTGAACCTTGCAGCTCTTCACAAATTTCCCTAAATACGGTGATTGAACATCTGTTCTAGTACTTTCAGACAGTCGAAAACTTTTTTAGAAGTCTTAGCACATCTCCTTTCTCTTACAGAGGAGGAAATAGAGGACATTTCTGAAGCAGAGCCTGGGCTAGAGCCTGTCTTCCGGAGTTCTGTGCCGCTCCACAGTGTGGCATCTTTGTAGCCTTTCTCCCTGTTTACACCCTGTAACTTGAGTTTGAAGGAGGTCAGGATAGAACTATAAATACATATTAGTGATAGTTCCCTTAGGCATCTCAAAATTGTTTTTGGCTTTAGAAGCAGAGGGGCAAAGGATCATAGAAGTCACCTCTTGCTTTTGTTGTTGTTGTTCATAGTTTCTTCTCTAATTAATTTACAGTAAATATTTTCTATCAATAAGTAAACCAGAGTGTTTATCTTGAATTAAAGAGAGCATAAAATTTGCCCTCAAAGTGAGTTATTTCCAGTTTCTCTAGAAGGGGAATGTTCCTCCTTTTCAAAAAGTCTCCCCTTTCAGATGTGTTTTTCATAAGCTTGTGAGTAGTATAAAACCAGTGAGGTGACCAAGTGTGTCTATTTTCTCCTTTAATAAAATCAATATGAATATTGCATTCATATTTCTTAAAACCTGCAGCCACTTGCATGCTTCACCACAAAGTTGCAATGTAGTGAATGTCAGCTGTACTCCCACTCCCCTGGCCACCATCCCCTTAAGGAACTGGTTTGCTACTGGGAAAAATAGTACAAGTGGGTGCACATATTGGCACACATGCCAGAAAGATGTTTCTCTTTTTGGCCCAGATGGTGTTATTTCTGGACCTCCTTCTCTTTGAGTGGGTGCAGTCGTCTTCCCTGATAAACTTCACAAGTTTAAGTGCAAAACCAGCCAGAGGATGACTCTTGGCATTGCATTCTGTGTGTATAATGAGAAGTGAGGACTGTCACGTCTTCCTAAGGAAACTCATTTGGCTTTTGTAGGGATCGTCTTAGCTCCTCAATTCCCTGTGAGCCCCCTCTGCCAGTCTCTTGGGTGCCTATCCCACCACCCTGGTTTTTTTTTTAAAGTGACCATCCCTGCATTTTTTTAAAGCAACTTATAATAGGAAACTCAGGGGGAGGGGCTGGAGTCCTTCACTCAGGAGACTGTTGAGCTTTTGTCTCCTGCAAGCAGCCTGGCATGCTGGCTCTGTCAGAAAAGGTCGTCTGACTCAGCCACTGAAGGCTGTTGAAGCTGTCTGCGACAGAAATAGCCCAGCTGCCTTCGTCAGGTTGTGCCATGGCTGGTGTTAGAAGACAGCACATTTTATACAAAGCCTCTTCTAGTTTA